AGACAACCTCCAGATTTCTCACAATTCAAATTCATTGGCATCAGTGCATGGGCCCCACAGCAGCACACCCCTCTTTTTTATGTTTAACTTTGTCTCACTATCTGCTTATTCTTTTGGTCCAGCTCCCATGCCCACAGACTTAAGTCATTAACATACTTATTCCTTTGTTCCATTGTCTCATGGAGATTCCCTCCAATTCAGTATTTGGGAATTGCAAGAGATTAATAGAAAGTAAAATATCCAAATCTTTCATGATTCCAGAAGAGGATAATTTCTCTTTATCTTTTCAGCTATTCCTCACTGACTTGTCCATTAAAGTAACCACACTAAACCATTCTTCCTTCTAAAGGCAGTATGCTTTTGGAAAGGGATTTATTTTTAATCAGTGCTAACAATCTATTATGGTCTACAGAGCATGCTCAGTATGAAAGGGATAAATCTTCAAAGTGAAGTATAAAAATCTGTTAACCATTATAAGGATTTTGCGGGTGTACCTCCAGCTTGCTACTTTGAAAATTTGCCCCTTTGCCTGTCTTGAACTGGGTGAGGAATTTCCAGATCTGATGTATCGTTAGAAATAAAGTACTGGATTGTGCACTAATGGTACTGTTTGAAATTTAAACATACTGGGCTTTCTATACATGAAAAAGGAAGTATTTCCAAGGAATGCTTGGAATGTATTCAGCAAGGAAATATATTTAATTATATTGAAACAGAATCCTAACTTTATTATAGATGACTACCCTTGCTGATAGCAAAGGACAAAGAATGATTTTGGGAAAGAATTGCAAAAATATGGTCTAATGGCATAAGGGCTAAACAAGGTTAAGGAACAGAAGTGCTAAACTTACCATACTTAAGCCACATTAATCTTTTCATTAGTACATAAAAAAAATCACAACTTTCCATCTCAAGTCATTATGTTGATGGGGCATCTTTGATCTAAATAAACAGCAATGATCCCAAAGGGAAGCCAGAAGTGTTTTTGATTATTATCTGTAAAGTCTAAAATTCCTTAGGTGAAATTCAGTATGAAATGCATCCATGCAATGATGAAGGTGAGTGAATATGTCAACATCTGTGCTTTATTAAAGCTGGACTATTTTTACTAGGCACTGAACCAAGGAGACCAAATACCCTGATAAAACCAGAAACTCCAGGAAGGGTTCTTTGAAGGTATTTCTTGCTGTCATGTTGCTGAAAAATACAACCTAATGTTATTTTCTTACATGTTTAATATAATCAGTTTGCCTCACTACACATCACGGTCCAAAACTGTCTTCTAAAAATGTACAGCGAATGAGATAGATTCCTCTTGCTAACCACGGATATCAAATGGATCGTGAAAACGTGTTTTCCAATGTTCTGAGTAATGACATTTCTGATAAAAATGCAGCTTGAGTGTTGCTAGGTCCAGAAATCTAAGGTAAGCAATCAGAATTATATCTCTGTAGGATTAATTAATAGGATATTAGATGTACAGAGTTGTAAATATTAAAAAAAAAAAAAAAAAAAAAAAAAAAAAAAAAAAAGTTTCTGTGAATTCTCTGATGAATGAATACTGTAAAGCAAATATTGGGAAGAGCAAAATTCAAAGAAACTATCCCCACTCTGTCATCTGAGCTCCTGTTTAGTACAGACTACAATGTTTCTTCTGTCCTAGGCCTAATAACTAATGCTGGAGTGCAACAGACCAAGCTGAAAGGCGATAACATGGTTTTGGAGACAGAAGAGATGGAGAATTTACAAAGTGAAAATCCAGCATCAGATAAGTAACAAACAGGAAAGCAGAGGCTGTAGAGACTGCTGCTTCCAACTCCATGTTAGTGAATGGAATCATTCCTCAATCTCTGTGAGATTCAAATTAGGTCATACTCCCTACGATGCAGTATTTCAAGAAAGAATGACTGTCAGTGCATCTCAGTGAACAGACTGTAACCACATCGTTTCGTCATGGCTGGATAAACCTTAGTAAATATTAATTTTTGCATTTTTACTTCAGTCCAATTTCTATACATTCATACATGTACACATTCAGTTTTCATTACGTTTGTAGGAGGGTGAAAATTTATGTGCTGTGGAAAGTACAAAAAACACTAAAACCTGCCAGAGACATCCTCACTAAGCTATGCAAAGACGACTTATAAAGAAATCATATAGTTTGTATAATTATTGCTAATTTGTTATTTGAAGAACATTTCTCATGTTTATTTCCACAGATTTCTCGTGACTCTTTGGAGATTGCTTATTAGCCATGCATGGAGAGCTATGGGCAGATGTGCACATTCTGTGAGCCAGAAGATAATTTAAAACAAAGGAGTTAGTTACAAAAATGAAATTAAATTACAAACAAATTACAAAAGCATTTTAACACTTCACAATCAAATATGGATGTTGCAGTCTGACAAGAGGTAAATTGCAAGGCTAGTCTTTCACAGTGCAAGGTACTTTAGTCCCATTTTTAGCAAATTACTCTGATGGAATATGAAAATACAGAACCCATAGTCTTTGGAAGTTAAAAAGAACATTTACAAAACTGTCAAAATATTTTTACCAAAAACTTTGCCATTAAAATGCTGTTGTGTTTTGATAAAGAGATTCTTTTGGTCAGGTAAAGAAACAAAACATGCCTTGCTGACTGGTACTAGGTTTGGGTACTTTCCTATAAAGCAGTGTCCACTTCTAGTCCTTGTCACTGCTGAGCTTTGGTCTGCATTACACCCAACAGTGATAGCAGTCTGCACATCCTACATGCTATGCTAGCACCAGCAGCTACAAAACTTCAACAGAAGATACACTTTTTTGTTGTTTGTTTGCAGAAATACAGTACAGCTGCTTTCACTTCAAAGAGAAAAAAATACATTTCAAAACAAAAAAGTTGCCATGAGAAACAGATCTTTCCTTTGACTGAGGTATTCTAGACTTCTTTTTAACATGGAGAGTCTTTATCTACTACCCAAGTATTACAGTTAAAAGAGCACTCCGGTTTTACCTTTCCCTTTTCTCCTCAGTGAGTCCCAGGCTTGGCAACACATAGTAAAATTAGCCCACTTAGCCCCAAATCACATAGTAAATTAGCCCACTTAATTGCATGCAAGTAAGCGGATCTGAGCAAGGGTTAAATGGTGCAAATATCTCCCATTCTTCATTGCTGTGCTTTGCACTGTGCTGTTTTCACTCAATATTACTGCATTTGTAGTACAGTACCATGGTACCAATCAGATAGGCTTCTGCACTAAGAATCTCTGCAGTATGTGCATCTTGTTCTACCCATGATAGAGGATAGAGGGCCTTGCTAGAGGTTGGTTTGACTCCAAGGAACAACATAGAGTCATAGAATCATTAAGGTTGGAAAAGACCTCTAAGATCATCTGGTCCAACCATCCTCCTACTGCGAGTAATGCCCACTAAACTGTGCCACTGCTAGTACAAGATGGCAGTGACGTTCACTTCAGTCATGCTCTTGGTCATGCACAATACCAGCGCCACACAGTTTGGAAATGGTCATTCTATTAGCCCAATCATCACTCTTAAATGTTACACGTGAGAAGCAGTGGTCTCCTTTAATTTTCCATTCTGCAGTTCTAGTCAGGATGATTCCAGTCAACAAGGATATTGAGCCATTTTCCAAATTCTGTAAACTTCTTGCTCATTAAAATTTCCCCTCCAGAAGCAAACACTACCTCCCTATGTTGCTGTCATTGACATTTATGAAAATGAAAGAGGTCTTGTAAATAGTTCAGATTTAAGGCTTCTCTGGAAAGCATGCTTACAGTCACTATCATTTCATACTGTATTAATACAGTTACTGAATACAATATTATTTTTTTACACTTCTGAAGTCACTGGGATCTCATTGTCTTCAAAGCAGAAGACAGTAGGAACAAGGTTGCCATCACTGAGTCTTCAAACTACTATGTCACTGACTCTAGTTGGGGAACAAAAACAGGCATCTCTGAAGAACATCACTCCTGTAGTATCCCTGTATCAATTACCAGAGAGACAAAGCAGGGCAAGGAAAAAAACAAACAAACAAACAAACAAAAAAACAACCATATTATTAATCCAAGCTACCATCTTACATAGTGCACATCACCAAGTTTGAGACCACTGCATCTGGTTGCAAGAGCCAGTCTCCTTTAATCAGTACAAAGAAACTATAATCAACTATGGGTGCCTAACCCTTTTCTCCTTGGGTATCCCATTTGAATGCAAAGTAAATACCCAGAAAAGTAGAAGGTACAGTAGGAAAAAATCTACCATATTCCATTAGTACCAAAACTTGACCTCACAATATTGTTTCAATTGTGCTTATGCTAAATGCTATGTGGATATATATTTACCTGGTACCATGCAGATTCCTATCCTCCATACCAACTCAATGAAGATACAGTTTACTCCCCCCTTTCAGCACTGATGTTCTTACTGTAATCACTGAGTTTCTGAAATATGGAATTAATCTGGGCTGCATGGCTCAAAGCTTGCCACAGACAATACCAAAGTTCAGGAAGGCACATACAAAATGAGGAATTATGGTTGCTGTTCTAGATATGGCTCTCATCTATAGTTTGTTATCAGTACAGTCACTATCAATAGAATTGTAGCATTTTATATTTATTTCAGCATTTCAACTTTTAAAGACGTAACATGCACAAATATCCCCTTTTCTTTCTCCTTGAGCTCTGGTGGTTTGCTTCCTTATCTAAGATACTGATCCAGAGCACACTGAGGGCAACTTTGAAGACAGGCTCAAGAAGCAAAAGTAGTTACAATGCATGTAGGCATTTTATTATCTCTTTTTTTGTGTATTTTCTGAAGTGAGATAATGTCTGCTTTTTTTTTGTTGCAAACATGTTGCTATCTTCTATCTCTTAACATGCCTACTGAGACCCTGTACATTCCAGCGATATTTTAAACCAGAAGGTCTTAAAGTACAGGTCATGACACATTGCCTGAGGTTCATAAACCTATTCCCTTTCACCATCCCCAGACTCCCACTGAAACAGACTTAGTCCCTTGCAAATAGTCTTGCTCCGATACCAGCAGCACTCTATAAATCACTGCACCCATTCCTGCATGCATGCTTTGAAGCACCATGAGAATCAGCCCAGAGGATTCTGGGGCACATCTAAGAAGGTCAGATGGAAAATAAGCAATCGTGGAGACACAGCAGGGAGTAGGGGTGAGTACACCTCATCACAGCAATTAGCAAGACAGATGATACCAAAGAGCTTATGATCCAGTTAAGTTTTTAAGTGTCCAAGGATTACTGAAGGGCACAGACTGAGGGAGACATATCAAAACTCACTGGGAACAAGACTCAAAAGTATTTTCTGAGTGGGTCTGCCTCTTGGTGGCACAAGGGTACAAACCTTATTTGAAATACATGAGAACTGTGATCCCTGGGTATTTTCTAACAAAAAGATGCATTTGGAAAACTCCATCTTCCCTTAGACCCTCAAATTGTCAAGTGACCAATTGATGAAATCCTTTGAATCTGCTTTGACAGTGAAGGTGACAAGTGATTCCCCATACAGCACAGCTATGTGTCCTATTTCTCCAGCATGTTTGGCTGAGGACTTCTTGAATCTCCTGATAACTTCCTAAAATTAATTATGACTGTGGTCTTTTAAAAAAAAAAAAAAAGACCCAAAAGACCCTCTTGCATTGTACCACACAGGTATGTAGCACATAGTTGCTGATGAGCAATAAGTCACATGTCCATGGCAGGGGGAAACAAACAAATTACGTTGTACTTGAAATGTAAGTCACATCTGCGTGTGACGTGACAGATCTGCAGAGCTGCTTTCATTGGGAGTGTTTTCCTTAGGGCTGTGGGCACTTCAGTGCAACTTTCTTAACCTTTTGGTACAGGCTGATAGCAGAAAAAAAGCCAGTCACAGATGATCCTTTGTAGGGTGGTGTGGAAGATGATATGGTTTAGGTCAGAAGGGAAATTAGTGCAGTCTTCTGGCTGTGTCACTCGATAGCTCTAAAGGCTTGTTTTTGAGGACAGATTATGTCTGAGATGTCTATATGGAAAGTGAAAAGTGAAAGCCTTTCAGCACAGTAAAGATTCACAGGGAAAGGTGATAGCTTTGCTTATACCAGTTCATAATGTCCCTTTCTACAAACTTTTCCTTATTTATATACTTAGATCATCATGGCTCCAACATCATTACTACCGTATCAAAATATTTAAATATTTCAAGATATAGAAACCATCTCTGTACTTCAAATAAAGTAACACACTGGCAAAATAGTGTCCCAAATGAATGCATCTGCTGGATCTGAGGGAAGATTCTCACATGGATTTCAGGGAACCTGACAGAAGGAAGTGGTTTTAACCTTCTTTGTCCAAAAGGAGCATACAAATTATTTCTTGACTTATTCTGAGCATTTTCATAAGTACCAGTGAATAGAAAGTTCTCCAGCAGGCATGTTTTTCCTAACCAGGTTTTCAGATGACTTTGCATATATCTGCCAGATTTATCACTGACTGATTCATTAAGCATCCTTGGACATACCACTTCAGACCTCTCTGATCTAGTTTCATAAAAAAAACATACTCACAGTTATAAGAGGTAGGCATTTTTCCTCCCGTGATCTACCCTTACCTCAGACCAACACCTCTTTGAAATGGCCACTGCCAGTCCTTGGTACAGAGCCAGTACTTTGAAAACAGATATTGTAGATATTTGCTGGTTATTTCCTGTTCCTTACTGTTTGGATGATTTAATCTAGCAGGGTGAGAATGAACTTCATTAAACATCCCATCTTGTAGTTATATTCACTCTTGTCCATTTTTTCCTCTCACTTTGTTTTTATGCTGTTGTAGGACGACTGCCTTCTACTAACTTTTTCCTGGCTACTAATGCTGTGAATTAATCTAATAGCAAACTGTCAAAGTCTAGTAGTTTCCTCTGTGTGCCAAGGACACCTAATGTGTTTGTGTCCAGTTGCCTCTCTGCAGGAATATTCATGATGTCTACAACCTCCTCCACAGGAGCAGCTGAGCTATCTTGAAGCTCTCCTTCTTCTGCCATGTTTCACAATTGCATTTTTCATAGAAGAAAAATGAAATTATCTGGTAACTAACTAAGGAGCTTGTGTTGAAAGCTCCAATACAAAATACCAACTGGAGTGAGGCTGGCCTGGACACCATAGGCAGGTAGCTACCTATACTCATCCCCCAGTCCATGGATCCTACTGTAGCTGCATGTTTACACACTGTACAGCAATGCCCCCAGGTGCTATTGGGACAAAGCACAAAGTCTCTGTGGAAGCTTAAATTTAAAAAAAAAAAAAAAATCATAAAAATTTCAGAAAAAAAAAACAAACAAATATATTTTTAACTTGCATCTGTACAATCCAAAGGTAACTAGTAAATCTTACTGACAGCAATTCCAAACTCACATTAGGGACAGAGGTTAGTTCTCATTTTTGTGTGTGTTTCAGACTAACGCAGCAGTGTAATTCAGGGAAATATTCAACCCACAGCTGCTTTTAAATAGTTTACAAAAGACTGTATCATTTGCAATGACAAGGTTAAGCCACTGGCACATGCAGTCACTGCTTTATCACTAACATGGGTCCTTTTTTTAGCACATTCCGGCCCACAGCCCTGGGGGAGCATATAATAACTTGTGGCACTGTTTTAAAAATAAAGTCTTTGTAAATGCCAACCACAATAACCTTAAGGCCTGCAGTGACTATTCTGAGAAAAAACACCTTATTATTACAGAGACATCTCATAATACTTCAGCCATGAAAGACTGACCTGAGCAGGCTGTCCTGTCACGGCTGTCCTGGTTTGAATTTTCCTCAAAATTCCTCTGCTGACAAATAGGCTTAGCTAGTTCATCTTTTTTAAAGGTACACTCAATAGAGATAAACTACAGGAACCTACATCCTACTTTCTGAAGTTCTGAATCCAAGGTGAGACTTCTCTTCCACGGTAAAATGTTCAGAAACTCCTATGATTTTAGTTCTAAAGCAGAAATATAGGTGTTCTAAGATGCCTTCTTCATACTACCAATTTATCAAATCTTTATTTAACTGGTTTTGTAATTGAAACACAGGATCAACAGCAAGGTTGGATGTGCCAGTTCTGATTGTGAAGTTTCCTTAAAAGTGTATTTTGAAAAATAATTGCTGCAAAATAAAATGCAGTAAACATGCAACATTTCCACGTCATTACTAGGGTAAAGCTGGAACTACAGATGTACTAAAATGGAGGTTAACGCAACAGTTGCACCAACTGCCAAGTACAGCCAAGCTACCGATTACTGGCAACAATTCAGCAAGCTAGAAGTTATCTTTATCTCTTTTGGCTTGACAGAAGGATTAAGCTTTAACTGTTTTGAGAGCTGGGAAGGGTGTAAAGGAAGTGTCTGTCTTCCATAAATCATGATGAAATAGGACAGATGATAAGTATGAAAGAACACCTAAAAGCAAAGAAATTATATTTATTTATATTTAATTGGTGATATTGTATCTGATTGTGAAGATTTCAGAATCCTCTGGCTCCTATAAATACTACATTGTTTTTATGTTGTCTTGAATTTGTTTGGAATCAACTTGACTTTTTTTTTTGAGAATTCCTTATATACACAAAATGCTCTAATGACCTGGAGTTACTTACTGTTTATCCATAGACTGCACTACATGAGCCAGATGAGGAGCAGGACTGAAACAGATGCAGCTGTCCCACTGACAGTCATCACAGCTGGACTTAGGTTAAATCATTCTTTAACTATTGCAGAGGATGTTCTTCAAGCTGGGAACAGTAGCTTTCACAGGTGGACTCTGCCAGTGCTGAACAGGGGTTGTAGGATCGAAGTTCCAGTGTGGACATGCTTACCATGAGATATCAGGGCAACACTGGTCTCACCAGCTTTAGATTGATGCCTACCTAGCTACTTCTAATGTATGTTAGTGGTCTGGTCAGTGTAGATATTTGTCCTGCATTAAGGACATTGTCAGCAACTTAGGCACTCAAATTCCTTTTAATATCTGACCCAGTCATCAATAGTGTGTGTGCTTATGAACGCATATGAACAAGTGTGTGTTGATATTTATGGCCTTTTACAAGGTGTTATACATTCTAACAGAGAGGATAGCCATAATTAAGTAAGAAATTTAGTTTAGTTAAAGCCTCTTAGTCACTATGTTGTCCATGCAAATTGCAGACTTCTAAAAAAAAGCATCTAAAAAATTAACTATAGCCTACAAGTTGCTAACCCCAATAAACTCTTTAAATGACTGCAAATTATTTTCTGCCAAGCATTAGCAATTACAAATTAATTTTCTTCCAACCTCTTCCCCGCTCCTATAATTTCTTGTGTTTAGACACTATTTAATTCAGTTATCTCTTGTGTTTCATCATTTCTTTCACATATAACCATGTTTTTATGATTGTTATCCTGCCTGCAGAAATATTTGTAGGCTACAATTAGCACCTTTTATGACACTGTCATTTTTATAAACAATGAACTTGGTCTTTTCCATCATGCTATCATGATATGCAATGAGAAGCAGCACAGAGAATTTCTAAACATTAAAAATGTTTAGAAATGTCCAAAAATTCACTTGCTTGTTCAGTGCAGCAAGAAAAATAGCTACTATTGGACTCTTCCCTATCGAATTTAGAAAAATAGAAGACAAAATATTTCTTTCTAAATATTCCTAATTGTACAAAATTTATAGAATAATAAGGCTTTAATCAAGTTCAGCATTAGGAAAGTATTTTCCCTTCTCAGCTATTTATTCTCTTAGTGAGTCTAACCCTCCCGGCATACACATGAGATGACTAATAAACCAGTTGGTGTGAGCACAGAGCTGTACAGGGGAAGGGCAAACCATAACACAAAGAAACTGAGTGAACTGCTCAAACTGAAATGCTCCCGGTGTCAGATGAGTGACTAGAGGCCAAGAGGTCCTGGCTGCCAACTCCTGTGTTGAGACTGCTAGACAAAACTTATTAATCACTCACTTGCACAACCAAACTTGGAAAAGAAAAAAAAAAAAAAAAAAGGAAAAAAAAAACACACAGGAAAGGACAATAAGGTGAGCTGATGAATAGTGGAGCAGATATCTCTTCTAGTTGACTAGTTCTGAGCTGATGATGACAGCTAGAAGGGATCCCTTTCTAACAACTGTCTTATTGCTATTCAACAAAGTTCAGTAGGTGATTTCAGGGTATTTTGAGCTTGCATCATTAAAGTAATGCAATAGGTAATATACTAATTACCAGGATAATCAAATAACTTCACTCTCTTATTGGACACAGGAACTGAACTTCTCAGAATATTTCCATCCAAACTCATTGATCATGGTGGTTCTCCCATGCCAGTTGAAGTAATAGAGCTGTCTTTACTTTCAGAAATTTCAACTCTAGAAGTAAACTAGAAGTAGTACTTCAAACCTGATTTCACAGAAATTCTTTATAGATAATGCCACGTCTGTAAGCAGGCTGAATGGAAGCTGCTTCAAAGTCAATTTAAAGATGATAATCTAAATGTAAGCAACAGAAGAATTAGTTGTGAGAATTAAATATTCCTTAAAAATATGATCGCAACTTCTAGTATCTATTCAAATAATCCTAGCAAAGGTCTGAATGTCATTAAAAGCAACACACACACACAAACATAACCAGAAACCAAACAGCCAATGTAAAGAGCATGACTACCAGAGATCAATGAAGGTACAGAAGAATTAATCACTTGAGACTCTTTCAGGTGGATGACAACTTTGATAAAAGTTTTTTTGTTTGTTTGTTTATTTGTTTGTTTGTTTGCTGAGGAGCAGGTTAAACTGACTTCTCAAATAGGGTAACAATAATCCGTTCAAAGATATGTTAATGGTTTTTGAATAAAAATCCAATCCAGAACCCCAGTAGAACTTTGCCCTTGAAAGTTTTCCCTGTGTTTTTTTTTTTTGTTTGTTTGTTTGTTTGTTTTCCAATAGACCTGTATTTTCTGACACAAGTATACAGGCTAGAGACAACAACTCAACAACTTGCTTTGTAAAGCACTGTGAAAGGTACACATACAGCAGGGCTAAAGCCTGACTGGACCCAGTGAATGATCTCTGTTCTCCCTGAGTGCCCCAGGCAGTCTGATGGATGCTCATGGCAATATATCCAGCCAGAAAACAGAATGCATTAAATTCAGAAGCTGACTCCACACACGTGTACAAGTGCATGACTCCCTGTCAACTTGCAAAACCAGGGCTGTATAAGCAAGAACTGCATTCCTCAAGACAGGGAGTCATTTTTATGCCTTCTGCCAAAGGAAAAATCTACAAAATGTGTGTGGAACCCACCTAACCAATGTTATTGCCTTTTTCCAACAAGCCTGACTTCTCAGCCCACAGCCTATTCTAGAGGCAGAGCACTACACACAGCGCTGGAGGAACCAATTCTGTGTTTTTATGACCACAATCCAAAGCCCAGCCAGGCTGCAGAGGTGCCCTACGAGATTAAATTGATCTCAAAGGCATGCCAGACCTGTGATATCTGTGAGCTGGTTACCTACATAGACTTCTCCACAGAATTCAATGTGGAATACTCTAAACTGTGTGAAACACGCATACATTGAATAGAGCTGTCAAGGATTTTTTGACTTGCTAGATTTGAACATCCTTGTTATTTCACTTATTTTTACTGGAGACAAATCAAAAAGCTAGCTAATTATATCATGCAGTGAAAGTAGACAATGTAAAGGGCCATCAAAGAACAGACGTTCTATAAATCCTTATAATATACTGAAAGGATGCAAGGCTCAATCTGGCAGCATTTCACGGGTGGCAATGGAAGTTCTTTGATGGAAACTTTTCTCTCAAAGGGAGGGTTTTCCAAGGCTCATTAATCTAATGCTCTCTGCTGTTTCAGGTACGCAGCACTGGACAAGAGGAGAGGTGGAAAAGAAGGCACCTTTTGTACCAAGAAAAGCTAGCTATTCATTTCTTTATCTTTCATGATCCCATTAACCCGTTCATGGCATCACCTTTTCTAAATGTCTGGAGGTTAAGGTAAACCAGTTATTTTCTCCCAAAGTATAGCTTTCCAAACCCAGCAAGTATTATCTCAGTTTTTAGCTCAGTGTTTTCTGGGGTGAAGCAGGACACTGCTCATAGTAGGCACACTGCCTGTAGCCCACCCACCGTTAACTTTCACCTCTCGGGAGGGATGCTTGAGCCGTGTTTCCCTCCCCAGGCAGCAGACTCTGCCTAAGGAACTGCAAACAAGTGACAGCCCCAAATCTTCCATGCAAGGCATGGGACTGGCTCTATGTATGCAATATATTTCAAACCCACTGTTCCTGAGCTCTAAAGTGGAACAGGACTGATACATATGCTTACTACCCAGGCAGGTTTCTCACCAGGAGGCTGTGAGATTGCTTGTGCATCAAAGAAGCACAAATTCCCTTGGCTCCAGCAGCCCCAGGCTGCTCTGGGAAGTGTTGCGATGTGCATTGCAGCAGTTTCCTAGCCCCAGCTAGAGCAAGTGAAACCTTAATCTGCAGCTCCCAGAGCTCATCCTAAACTCTACAGCCATACTGACTTTATCCCCTCTCACATTGGATTTGGAGTTACATAAAACTGATGAGGAGAAAAAAAGACTAGGAAAATGTGTGAAGTGAAAAAGAAAATACCCCAGTATGCTAATGTTCTGCTTCATCTTCAACAGCCAGATTTTGCCTTAAACTCCACTCTACGAAATAAGTGTCACCAGACTGTTCCTCTCCCCTCGCAACCGCCTGAACTCTGCCAAGAGGGGAGACTGACAGCCCTTATATAAAAACAAGAGTGAATCCCTGTTTCTGGGAAAGTAATAGAAGACATCCCTTGAATTTGAATGCTTGTGAGTTTTTTCTACACATCAGTGCATTCCCATGGAGGCTATTTCCCCCAGTTTCTGCTATACGTTTATGCTGTTTGAACTGCTCCGGATTTCCCATGCCAAAGTGGCAAGATCAGGGAGAGTTTTCTCTAAAGACCCACTATATCAACTCTCCTAAGTTCCTCATTATTATGGTTATATAAACTCTTGAAAAATATAAATTAATCTCTTTTCGGCAACTCACAGCCACTCAGAATTTGACAGAAGTGGGAAATCACAGTTAGAAAAACTAAATCCTGCCTTTGTTTCCTGAACTTTAAACTACAGATTAATTTGACAGATGTCTGAGCCTCATTAATATTGCTATTGTCTGTCTCTGAATAATAACTCTGATGATCATTATGCTGTTCTGAGACATGCATATTTTAATAGTATGCTCATTACTATAAAAAATGTAAACCACATTAACTGGATTTTTTTTCACACTGTCATGAAAAACACATTTGAAAGGGGGGGTTGGTGGGTTGTAATGTTTCCAAGTCTATGAAAAACTGTAGAAAGAATTGGAAAACACTTGAAATTTGTTGGTAAGGAACTGCCATCACTGGGAATGTTTTCACCTTATTCTACGGGCTCTTTGCATAGCAAAGCTGGATCAACTTCACAAGAGTCCACTGACACTGAGACTATACCAGAATGGCTGAGCAAGAGGAATTCCAGGAGGAACATGACCACAGCCAGCTCACTTCCATGTTCTGGTGATATCTGACTCCTACAATGGCTTTGCGATACCACAAGCTCTTAGGCACAATCTCAAGCATCCCTAACACCTCTCTTAAATGCTCTGAGAGCCTTGCTGGTCCTACGGCACTTTTTTCTTGGAGGAGCCATCATTTTGCCCCTACTGTTCAAGTGCAGCCTGATTCAGACCCAGAGTTCTGGCCTGCATAGGGTCACTTTCAGAAGCAGTTGAGCAAATCATCTCCTCATTGCAAAATGTATTTGTACATCATATAAGGCAGCATTTCAGCTTGAGAAACTGTTGCTTATTTGTGTCTTGAATACAATGGATCCATAGCTTGGGGAGGAGACAAAAATGGTGATCAACTGAAGCTCTTCAGGTAGGCCTTTTAGGATGAAAATCAAACTATGGAATTGCATCCAAATTCACTGTCTAAGTCTAACCTTCAAACATATGCCATTAGCTCTATGTGCAATATATTTGCATCCCAGACTGGGATGATGGTCCTCTCTTCAAATCCAGCCCTTTGTACAGAATGGCACCTGTCTCCCTGATCTGGGCATAGCAACCAACATCACCCACCCTCCTAAATCTTCCACCCTCCTAAATGCACACAACCCTCTACTTTCTATTCATCACAGATAGAAAGAATCAGAAGTGTGTCTGGATCTATTAGATCTTTAGTCTCCTTAATTTAGCTGAAAAGTAACAGTTTCTACTTTCTAATCTCACAACCTGGGAAATTAAAAAAAATAAAATTGTTTGTTTGGTTTCTTTTTTTGTTGTTGTTTGTTTTGTTTTGTTTTGTTTTTAATGCAAGAGGTAAAGGAGACCTGGCTGGAAGAAATATAGGAGAATTAATGTACCCACATTTATATGCAATCTTTTCAGAAACTCCATTTTGGTTTGGGAATATGTGCAGTTACTTGGTCTACTTCAAATCCCTAAAAGATCTCAGGAGGACAAATAAAAGATGACAGATTTGAGGCTTTCAAGGTTTTCTGTATAGAAGGAAAGATTCCAAGGGACGGCCTCTGCTTTCCCAGCATTACCTTTTCCTCCACGTTTGGAGGAGGTGACAAGAATCGTTCTAAGAAATGCATGAGCAAGAAAAAAAAGAAATCATCTCTCAGGCCCAATTAAATATGTTTGTCTAGTTTTTCATTCCAATCAAGTCTTATAGGAATTTGCTGGGATGAGATTACTATTCCTACCACCCAAGCTAACCATGAGCATTACTGACTGATGTTCCTTTATTCAGATTTGCCAAAATTCTCACTCTGATTCAGTTTTCTCCATTTTTGTCCTGAAGAGGGTTAGAGGGTTCTATTAATACCTCCCCCTCCTCTTTTTTTTTTTTTTTTTCCTTTTTTTTTTTGGCAGTCTGTTCTAAAATGCTAAATCCTTATTTCCTCAGCAGGGGTATAATATCTTCTCTTATTAAAAATACTGAAACACAAGCTTACCCAGAGGTGTGTTTTATTTGACATGAAGAGATTCAGTAAAAATGCTTCCCTGGGAGAGCTAGTGTTTCAGCCATCCTGCAAGGATTTGGCAAGTGTTTCAAATGTTCTGCTGGACTCTCCGTTTGAGATTTTATTAACCCCTTTCAAAAATGGTAATTTCCACCATTTCCAAGTGCAGATGGATGGAAATTTCCAAGTCTATTGTCTGGAACTATGACACAGGCAAAGAGAAAGACTGAATCGCTTGATTAATCACTGGGGAATGGAGAGAATATGGATGATAAAAATATATATATATATTTCTAAATCTGGCTACAGCAGCACTTTACAAATAGGCAGTGAATTTGGCCTCCTAAGACAGTGACCACCAAAGTGTTCCCATCATCAGCCTGTAATGCTGCGGTGTCTCACTGTGAAGAGGCAGGAGAGAGCTGGGAGTCCCTCTGTTAGAGGTCAAGAGGGTAAGAAAGGAACAGTCAAGGGACAAATTTCAGTAAAGTGACAACAGAGCCCCTAAAGTTCTCACACTTAGCAAGTACAAGGTCATGTGTACTTGAGGGACAAAGGAATAAGGAGATCTCCCACACTGTGTGACAGAAGAGATCTCTGCACCACAACATGGATATCCCAAAGGGCAGATGTTAGCAATGTGCTAGAGAAGTCAGCCCCAAAGCCAAGGTTATTCGTTGGGAGCCCTTGATCATGCTTAAACAGTTTGGACACTTGCCATCTCTCAGCAAAGCCAATACAAGTTTTTCAATTGACTTAAATGGAAATTGGAATGAATCTCTAGGCCTAATCTCTTTCAGTTGCTTTCTGTTTACATCATTTCAGATCTCTGTGACAGTTGTCTCTCAGATGTATTTCATTAGGTATTTAGCATTCTACTGAGAAGTTTCCCAATCCACGTTTCTTCTCAAATCTTCCTTTGTAAATCCCAATGAACAAAAATCTTCTCACTTTCCATCTCTGGTTGATTTTTCATTCATCCATCTCTTCCTGCCAGAATCCTGGCTGATGCACTGTCTTTGGATTGTTTAATCAAACTGATAGCTAATAAAATGGATGTCTCATCATCAAATAAATTCTTCCAACCCAACTTTAAAGCCCCAAAGTGTTCTAGATTCTCATCTGGAGTAAATCAGTTTTTGCTGATATCAGCAAAGCCTTGCTGGCTTACAGCATTTGAGAATCTAATCTTCTAATCTTGATCAAAGTAGAAAGTGTCTTACTATGATTGCCTACATTTTGTACAAAATGATCACTCTTTTGGCAAGCAAAAAAAAAACCATCAAAATGTGTGTTCAAACTCTTCCCCAAAGGCATAAATCCCCCTGCTGCTTTTCATCTCAGCCTCCAGAATAGAACACACTCCTGTCATTTATCAAGAAGACAGAAGTAGTATCACATATGCTAACACAATGAAAATGCCTTTTTTCCCATACTATTGCACCTACCTTAACTGTTTATGCATGGTTTCCTTAAGTTATTTTATTGCTGAGTATACAGATATACACTGAAGACAACAGTTACTCTAAAAGTAGTGTAGTTATAACTCAATTCAATGTCATATGATAGATCATCTACGACTACTTTCATGTGATCTTTTTTTTGTAACATGGTATTGAGCTATAACTCAATAACCAATACCTACAGTACTTTCAACCAGTGGCCAACCATACCAACACATACGGAATGAACCAACTGCACAGACAAAAATTCATTCCTATGACACCAATGGAGATTTAATGTTTTAAAATTCAGTCCTTTGAAAAACAAGAATTGTTTCTCCAAAACTACATGATACACAGACTGAAAAGCCAAACTGTTGCCAGTTTTGCCTATGGTACAAGAAAAAATGCTCCTTCCAGTTAATAGAACAGTACCTCCACTCTGTGGTGAAATTTGGTCTTCTCCTTAAATGCATATTTTATCACATTCACCAAACAAGCAGAAAGACCAGAATTTAACCAATGGATTGAACTTAACTTCTCTAAATCCATCTGAGAAATCTTCCCTTCACTGTAAATTACTGAAGGCTATAGAGACGTAGCAGTCCAGAAGGGCTGAATATAAGTATCATACGAATACCTTTTTATTTTGAGGGTAAGAATCTGCCTCAGAGAACTAGTTGTGCTTCCTTTTAGTTGATCCAACAGATTCAAATAAAGGTGATATTTATGCAAACACTTTATTATAACTTTTTTTTTTTTCCTTCAGCAAATGGCAAGGTACTCCTAATCCCTGCATCAATGCATTATTAGTAGACTTAAATTCTAATAATCTCAGCTCCTACTTTTCCAGACAATTGAGCTTAAATGTTTCTATTTCACAACCTTCTCCAGCTGCTTGCTGATCAGTTGTTTGGATATTTTTCTCTTCTAGTCCCTCTAGTTGAAGACTAACCAATAGGTTGTCTCTTGCTGCCATACAGTTTATCCCACAAAAGGAACAGGGAAAAGACCCTACAGCCTGAAAGCAAAGGCCCTACAGCCTGAAAGCAAAGACAGGATAAGCACCATGCCATAATCACTCTGTTTTTTGACCTGCTAGGAACACCCCACACTGACCATGCTGAAATCTGTTTTAAATCCATTTAGGTTGTTTTGAGAAAAAGGCCAAGGGGCCATGCCTGCTGCTTCAGGAGACAGAGGAAATGACAAGAACTCCAAGGATATGGCCTCTCCTAGCATGCCTGATTGACAGATCTGTTTTCTGCATTCAATACACTGTAAAAACATTGTAGCAGACTTGGGACTTATTCTTACAGAGAAAAATAATTATGAACAGCATACTATTTGTGTGGATTTTAAAAGGCACAACTGGGACCCTATTAGCTTCGCTAGACTCTCTATCTTTACAGAAATGTTCAGTAATTAAATCTTAAAAACAGAGATCAGAGCAAACACAGTCAAAAATCTAAACACAATCTGAAATGCTGATTTGAGTTGGTCAAGTAATTTTCTAAATCCATGGCAACTTCATTAGTTTGTTTTGACTGGAGAAAAACAGTGGGAAAACATTCTACTTCTTTTAAAAACAACATACTGTACTCCTACTTTGAAAAAAAAGTGTCATTGCTAAATTAATTTGGATTTGGAAAATAAAGGCTAAAGTACCAAAAATGAAATAAAACTCTTCTCTTGGGCCAAGGTAAGATTTTTTATCTGACTTTTTTTTTTTTTATCCCCCCCCCTTTTTTTTTCTGAAAATGATATAGGATTTACCCCACAACTCCACTTAAGCCTCCTACTGCAGTTAGAATATTTTGCAAGTCTCCATTCTGCATTGTGGGAGAATGAATCACTGATGTTTTTTGACCTTTTTTAGCCTAGATGGCTGCAAAGGACCCTACCAGGAAAGGCCTCATGTCCCATCAAGGGGAGAGGCCACCCTCAACAGGATGCTCAAAACATCTCTTGTCCTACTTAATTCTGATCAAAAGACATAGCTGAAATACTCTTGTGCTCCCCTGTCAATACCACTGACAAAATATTCTCCAATGGCATAAAGTTTTGTAAAGTCATGTAAAGTTTGTAAAGGTCATGAAGTGAGGAAAAGAAACTGTAGAGAGGCTGAGGAAAACAGTCTAATGAGAAAACACACAGTGCTTTACTGCAGAAATTACAGCTGAACCTGTAAAGAAATGACAACACATGCCCACAATCACAGAAGTGACCAGACAAAAGTAAAGCTGAAAAAAACTCCCATTCCTGGACATTTCAGTATTATGGTATACGCTGCTCAAACTGATCTCACAGGATCTCTAGCCTGCAAGTACAGTGTATTTTCTCACCCATTCACATTCTTATACTCCTTATTATCATGGAATAAAGCTGAGCTTTCCTTCTCAAGCCTGGGTTGATCAAGAACACGTACAAAGAAGTATTGAAAACGAGAAATACCTTGTAATGTGAATTTATAAAGTTATAGCAGCAAACAGGCTTGCAAATGAATGAAGGTAGCGATTACTCCAGGGTTGCATTAAATAACAGGTGGCCAAGTAAAGAGCAGCAGGCTGAGGTAATGGGATGTCTTAACTGGTGGAGAGGATTAACAGTCCCAGGACACATGAAGCCATGATCTCCATCTGTGATCCTTTTGCTGCTCACATCTTTGGAAGGCTGACCACCCTTGAGCTACCTTAAGACCGCACTGGTGTTTACATGCGGTCCTCTGGGCACGTCACTGGATTTATAAAGTCAGAACACATAATTATACAGCACCATGAAAGACAGTTTACTTAGGACTTGTCTCCTTAGCTTGAGTATGATTTTCTTTCATAAGTAAACAAACTGTAAATTAAGAATTCGTATAAAATGCTCTGGTATCAAAAACTTCACAAGCTCATTATCTGCAATTTAAACACGCAGAGACTGAGAGCCAAAGGGAGCTGTCTGAAGTCGAAGAAGACATTGGCTGAAGCCAATTTCCTCTCTCAAATCCATGCTCTACCCGCTGGACCATTAAATCAAAGCTTGGGCTTTTCAGTGCTCGAACACATTAGATTTGTATTTAACACCCTTGGTAAATGGGAAAATTACGTTAAAACATAAAACAGTAAATGGCCTTCTGAAGAGAACTTCTGCAAGTAAAAGCAGGTTTTAGTTGGATTATTAGCACTTGTGCGGTGTTACATACACGTTATGTGAAAGCATATTCAAAACACAGAGTATTTCCACATGTACATGTCTAAGAAAACAAGTTGTGGTTGGCTAGAGCTGACAAAAATACATTAATAAATGAATAAAGGCTTTCCTTTTAGCAGTAATTCAGCCTCCCCGCTGTGAAGATAGAAGGTGCTCCAAGCCTCACTTCTATCATTCGCACTCTTGCCAGATATAACATACCGCAGAGAACACTGCAATTGTGTTATACCAAAGAAAGCAATCTCCTGCTAGACTCAAAGAACAAGAACAAAAATCCCACTGCAGCTCATAATTGTTTAGCCATAACAGAAATGGTGAGTTTTTCGCTTCAGGTTCACGAGATCACAGGTCCCCTTTTCCTGTCACTGGGAAAGTTTTTCATGGTTTTTTTTTTTTTTTAGTTTTTAGTAGCAGATCTGCCACAGCAAAACCCAAGTCCAAGCCCTGTCACATCCACCTGTGGCAGGGCTGCAGTGGCAGTACACTGGGAAGGCATGGGGAAGATGGGAAAAGTGAGCCCACAAAGCAGTTGATCATCTGTCACTGGAAAGAAGACGCATTCACTGAGCTGCCAACAGTTACAGCCACCAAAAGATTTCCCTTTTTGAAGAATAGATAGTCCTTTTTGAATAGGCTTTAAAGACCAACCAATAAACCCTGCCCCAATGAAGTCAACAAGAGCTTTTTTTCATGAGCCTGGAAGATGATGATGCAGGGTGTAGTCCTACAGGGGACACTTCCCAAATCAATTTGGAAAGCTCCCAGAATGGCCTTTACGGGCGGGGAGGAAGAGAAGGGGACTTAAGGCAAGTGCATCACATTTATTTGCAGGCACCACATTTATTTGCAGGCATTGGCTGCGATAGCATTAGCTAATACTTCTCTGCCCACTCAACCATTTTAAAGTTGGTTCTGCAAGATACTAAACAAATGGGCCCCAGGCCAACAGGACACTTAAACATGTGCTCGACTTTAAGGATACAAGTAAATCCTCCTGAATGCTTAATGTTACGCTTTCCTGAACCAGAGCCAAAGTGCTCCATCCCTTGCCAGCTCTTAAGGCCAGTATCAAACAAATCTCTCCTGGTAATGTTAAACAAAGTCCTTCATACAAGTATGCAAATAGTTCCACAAACTATATATATATTATCTCATTCTTCTACATATACATGCATGGGTCAGTTCAGGATATTCTGTTTCAAACTTCTATTTTATGCCTACGCTTTATGACTTTGATCCAAGCACTTCATTGCTCAGAGAAGACAGGGATTAAAAATGCACAGCATTCAGAATTCATTACCCCTAGTAATAGTATTAACCCTGTAGCAATAGCATATTGGCTTTAATATTATCCATATTGTGTTCTCTGGCTGGCATTTTCTCTGATATGTTTTGGTTTTCAGCTTTCAATCAATTCTCTCATCCAACTGGAATAGTTTCTCTCATCCAACTGGAATAGATGCCAAAATGACTTAGAAAACACTGTTCAGGTTCCATATAATAAAGCAAACCACAGGAATGGTCTATTAACATTAAAATTACAGAATCATTGAAACACATTAAAGATAAACATGCCATCAATGTGAGTCGAGCAAGCATGCCACTCCAACAACACTTTTTAATAGCCCACGTTTGTACATTATATATAAACCTTTGACTATGTGCACCATGCAACACACCGTATTATATTATTTATTCAGTACAATTCCCTTTTCTCTCTTCAATTCTATTTTATCCCTAAGGATGCACAGTACATTCCAGCAAGACAAAGCAACTCAAACTTATATCCCCAGGCTAAAAGACAGACCAATAGCTCACTGTCTACTTCGATCAACCAAAACAGAAGAGTATTCCATTAATCCTGCAAGTTGGCCCCACTGTGATTTCACCAATTAACCAGCCATTTCTGTATTTTATGGGATTTCAGTATTTAACTAAAGCAACTTTTCTAAACACATTTATTTCTTTGAGATCAAAGCCAAAATTCCATCTTTTTATAGGTTTCAAGAAGTTTCCAAAAGCAATCGACAAAGATCCAGTTGCTGAAATTCTCCAATGCCTTTTAAAAATTATATTGCCAGGTTCCTGTATTCTTGATTGCCATTCAACTATCACAGCCAATATCACTAAAACTCAGAAGTTCAAGTGCCCAACACCTGATGAACAAACTCACTACCCCTGTAGGTTCAAACTGTTGATGGGCCTACAGGTCTACAGTAGACTTGGGGATCTATCTCAAGAGCATTTTTGTTCATAGTGTCAATATCTGCCTACCCTAACACCTGCCTTTTGTCTGTGTCAAATATCTAACAATGTATCAGGGGATCTGGGTAGAGAAACTGTGAAAAGGTTGATGTACCAGCACAGAAACTGAGAGTAAGAATCGTGTGAGTTCACAGATTCTATGAGAGAAGTGATACTACTTTGTTAATCAATAAAGATCTTCAGGCACTTCTAGAGAAATTAGCTGGGAAACAGCTTGTACAGATCATATGGATACTGAGCAAAACCTACTGAGATCAATAACAACCTTTCTATCTATTCTAGTTGAGTTTTGAATCATACCATTGATGAAAGGGGAAACCATGCATGAAAGGCATGGATGTTTAGGAGGGTTGTTTTTTTTGTTGTTGTTTTTGTTTGTTTGGTTGGTTGGTTGTTGTTTTGTTGTTGTTGTTGTTGTTGTTGTTTGTTGTTGTTGTTGTTGATTGTCCTGTGTTGTTGTTGCTGTTGTTTTATTTCCCATCTTTTTTTTTTTTTTTGTATTTTCTTTCATTCCTTGGACAAGGACATTTATATGCTGCTGGCAGTCTGAGAAGAATTTCCCCTAGTTACATCAGATTTAGCATAGCTAACAGGATATATCACTTTTCCACATAAGGAGCAGCTGCAGATGCTGCAGGGAGGTTGTAAATACACGGTATTTGGCCACACATTTTGCAATATTTTGCATATTCTCTACATTTACATATTCTCTACATTGAAAATTGAGGGAGGGGAAGGAAGGGTACCAACATGCAAAGGCCAGCCTTACCAAGAAGAAAAAGTGACAGTGATGCCAAAAGCCTCTAAAAGACATACTTGAACTCATCTCTGTCCTCCTGTATCAAACCCAGGCTCCTTTCCTGGGGCACAGTTTAGCCTGTGTTTGATCTGCTGCTAAGGCTACACTGCCAAGACTAGAGTCTGTCCTGCAAAGGACAACATTTAAGATACTACTTGCTCTGCCTGGTCCCCTTGGAGAAATTATTTGCTTGCCACAAATCTTTTTAAACCAGTGATACTACACCAGACAGCTCTGCCAAGCAGGACACATGAAACTGAAGGGAATTTCCTTTCTCCTTTCCACAGTGGATACCCTTTCAAATGAAATGGGGTTGTTCCAAAAAGAAGTCACAACACATCTTTCTCTTCTTCTAAAATGTATTAATAATTCAATTTAAATAATTCAAGACTCAATTTATTTTTATGGTTAA